CCGACGTTATTAACGGCGTGTGTAGTCGCGCCCTTAAACAACGCCAGCCGACACCACGCCGCGGTCACTGACGTCACATGCTACAGCACGCCGGAGAAGAGAGGTGGCTATGTGAATGGCGTCTTTATCGCTATGTATATGTTACTCGTGCCGTCTGAAGATTCTTTGTGCTGTGTCGTTATACTGCGTAGGAGTCATACGTTCGCGCGAGTCGTTGCGGACAGTGTCGTGTGTGCTGCTAGCTACTGCCTTTGCTATTCACACTCGCGCGATCTCTCTTTCTAGCCCCACACACACTCAGTCTATCTCTCTTTCTTCCTCTATTTCGCCCTCCCTCTCTTCTTTCTATATATATATATATATATATATATATATATATATCCGCGCGTTCTCTCTCCTCGCCCCTTGCGCGCGCTCTCTCTCTGTCTCTCCCCTCTCCCTCTCTCTCGCTCTCTACTGTTTTTCTCTGTTCTCTGTCTAACCTATTTTTTTTCACCAATTTTTCGTTTAATCAACCTGTAGTCATTGCACAAATGTTAGCTTTACCAGCGTCATGCTTTATAATACGTCGCATCAGTATCGTTCATCTTTCCCTCCTTCTTCCCCCTCTCCCTCTCTCTGTCTCTTTCTCTCTCTCACTCTCTCCTTCTCTCCCTCTCCTCTCGCCTCTTTCATCTCTCTCCCTCTCTCGCTCTCTCTCTCTCACTCTCTCGCACGTCACAACTCTCTCCTCTTCTTACTCTCCCTCACGCCGCTCGTGCTGCCGTGTACAACGCAATGGCCGCCAGTAGCAGCGGCAGTACGGCGGCGAATGGTTTCTGCGTTCTTGCAGCGCTCTACGGCAGGGCGAGTCTCACAAGAGCTCATGTCCCGATTATAATTGCGCTCCGCTGTCGTACGGACCTCTGTAGAAGAAGCTCTGTTAGCCAACGCTTGCCCCAACTGCGCCCGAAACGAAGGAGGACGCCACGCGCTCTCCTCGCTCTCCCAAGATAAATAACGTCATTCTCATCAGTCGTCGTCTTGTCTCCACGCTTGAGTGCGGTTAGTTAGCAAGGGTGCCAGGCCGGCGAATAGGGTTAACACTCGGTGATTCGAGATTGTGGACATGAATGTTTCGGCATGGATGTATGAACAGCGGCGCGGCATGGCGCTGCCACCGTAACGCACGCATCAGACACGCCTGCGCGCGCGCGGGGGCAAACAACACATCCCGTGCCCTTCGTAACCGTCGACGATGCAAGAGTAGACGAGCGAGCTGTGGCTATCTTGTACGTAGTATACTATGCTGGATTTGATGTCCGACAACGGTCGCGTGCACGCACACGCACGCACGCACGCACACGGAGTGAGAGAGAAGCACGGAGCCCTAAAACAGCTTACAGCAGCTAAACTGTTTAACCCACCCGAGGTTTCACTCTCGCGACTCACTGCGATCCGGAGGTGAAAAGGCAGCAGGAGGACCTTTGTCTGTCCACAGCGTCAGCCTTCTCAGACACTAAACTACGTAAAGACAGTTAAGATCAGCCAGGAGATTCGCCAAACGTGAAGCTAAAAGCCCGAAAACGCAAATTTTACTTTTCTTGCGCTAATCGCATATATATATATTATATATATTATTATATATATTATTTATAATTACATATACATATATATATATATATACATACACATACTACACACAAATATATATATATAATAATACTATATATATATTATATAATATATATAACAGCTGTATTTCGATTTTCGTCGCAACCGGAGCGAAGAGCGAAAAGTTCGCCGAAGAAATGCGTAAGACTAGAATAGATGAATAGTTTTATAAATCGCGCTAGTTAAGACGTAGGCTCTGCGGCGAAGACTTTAATCGACGACCCTCTTATCATACATAGTGATAACTAATTATAATGCGGGTCGATTGGCCGTGTATAAGAATGTAGCGGATACTAACGTGCAACAATATCCGAGAGAATGAAATCCGTTCTCTCTCTCTCTCTCTGCTCTCTCCATCTCTCTGTCTCTCTGCTCTCTCTGTCTCTCTGTCTCTCTGTCTCTCTGTCTCCCTGTCTCCTGTCTCTCTGTCTCTCTGTCTCTCTGTCTCTCTTCTCTCTGATCTCTCTGTCTTCTACTGTCTCTCTGTCTCTCTGTCTCTCTGCCTCTCTTCTGTACTCTCTGCGTCTCTCTGTCTCTCTGTCTCTCTGTCTCTCGTGATCTCTCCTTGGCTCTCTCTTCTGGTCTCTCTGTTCTCTCTGCTCTCTCTGTCTCTCTGTCTCTCTGTCTCTCTGTCTCTCTGCTCTCTTCGTGTCTCTCCTGGGACTCTCTCGCTCTCTCTGTCTCTCTGTCTCTCTGCTCTCCATCTCGTCTCTCTGTCTCTCTGTCTCTCTGTCTCTCGTGCCTCTCTCGTGTCTCTCTGTCTCTTCTGTCTCTCTGCTCTCTGTCTCTGCTGTCTCTCTTGTCTTCTCTGAGGGCGAGTATGATCTCTCTAGCTCTCTTTCGTCTC